CACAGTGTGTCACACACACACACACAAACACACACACACACACACACACACACACACACACACACACTCTCACCCTTTGGACACGCAGGGCTGAAAGTCAGGAGTCATGTGGTGTAATTAATTACCGTCTGAAAGTGACCAAGGTCAGCGCGCTGCTCAGCTGGAGAAGGTTCCGGAGGTCACGGCCTCTTCTGAAGCTGTCAGCTGTCACAGAAGGTGAAGCCGAAGCAACCTTAAAGCAGATTTTTTGTGAGTGCTTGTGGAGCCAACTGTGTATTATTCTCCAGTCTTGTGTGTGAACCACGGATATTCACAATTAAGTTCTCATTTAAACCAAAGTGGCGAAGTAATTTCTTATCTACCCTGAAGTAGGCATCTCCCTGGTTCCCTTTCGACGAAAAGCCAATGGGATTTTTCCATTACTTTTTTGATTAATGCAGAAGATAAGCTCTGTGCTCTACATGATGTTAACATGTTTTATTCAGCAGAATAATCTGGGGGCTATAAAGGAACTGGTCACATGATTTAAAGACACCACCGCTAAGCTAACGGCGGCTAATGATGGGCATGATTTTTACATTTGACATCTATTTACCTTTATTTGTATAATTTATTTTACACAGACTGCTGATAGATGTGTATATAACTGACTGTTTGCACTCTGGTTAGACCCTCTTATTCTGCTTGCATTATGTAATGACAATAAAGTAATCTAATCTCATTTAGACACTTGTTAGCAACCACATTTTTTTAATTCACCGGTGGGGTAATTACTGACGTATTTAATGTCGTAAAACGTGAAAATCTCTTTGTACAGACAGGAAAGAGACAATTGATTGCAGAATATTGAAAGATATTTGCTTTCATATGAAACTATTAGATTTAACAGGATGTAATGTTCTTGTGTTTGAAGAAAACTGTCACAGATAGAGGAAAAGTAAAAACTTAAAAGCATGTTTAAAAGAGAAAGAAACACAAAGTCACACAGAAGTAATGAGCGATAAGGGAACAAATGAAATAAACCAGACTTTAAATCAGAGTCAGTGTTCGTAGTCTGCCCACGGAGGCAACGAGAGTAATTCTGATGAAGACTCTGTTAATGTCCTGGGAGTTTAAATAAAGCCGACCTCGAGATCCTGCGAGTCTGTCTGAGGTTTTTACAGAACGAGTGCCAGGCTGTGAAATCTAATTATTATCTTCAATTTAACAAGGTCACAGCACTATTCCTGGGTATAAAAGGGTTGGAAATGTCAAACAAGAGCAACAATTCAAATCACTTTTTCATTTGCTCTTTGCTCTCTTTTCAAGCTGCAGCTGTTTTTTAATTTATATTATTTCAAAAAACCTTTTCAAGACAGATCAAGCCAGAATGACAGCTTAACAGACGAAGGCAGTGCCAACAAGCAATGCAGGAAAAGGCTTTCACAAGCGCTAAATAAAGTTTTAACAAACAACTATACATTTAGAAAGTTTTCCAAAATCCTATACAGAGCTCGTGACTGTCCAGAAAGTGAATTCTGTCAAATAAAATAAATAATCAATTAGTTTATTGTCAATCTCAAAATATGTTTGTACACACAGAAAGATCGAAATGCTGTTTCCCACAGTCCCGAGGAATAAAATAACACATTAAAATACAAGAACACTCAATAATTACAAAAACACCACAAAATAACCGTTTACTTCGAGTAAGCAGGATATATATATAAAAAAAGATGATGTGCATAGTGCAAATGAGAGTGCAAAATGAATTCAGTCAATCAATTAAGTTAGAAATATGTTAAAGGTCCCATGTCATGGCCCTTTCTACTGATCATAATTCCATTGTTGAGGTCTACTAGAATAGATTTACATTGTTCAATGTTCCAAACTCACATTGGTTTCTCATACAGCATCTCTGTATAGTCTGTCTCCTGCCCCCTCCCCTCCCTGTGAGCCCACTGTGCTCTGATTGGTCGGGACGTTGCGAGGC